GCGAGGCAGCTCCCCCGGGCAGCGCGCACCCAACGCCGGCGAGAGCGCGCTTGCAGGGCTCGGGTACATGAGCGGCGATGACGGCGCCAGGGCCTCCAGGGCCTCGTCGTCCTCCAACTCGGCAGCCTCCCCAAGCAGGGGTCTCCCGCTGCCGCGGAAGTCGGCCCACGCCTCGTAGTCGTCGCTGGCGTGCGAGGCCGGGCTGGCGGCCCACTTGGCAGCGACAGGAACAGGCCCAGGGACAGGCGCGCCCGGAGGGCTGTCGTCGGGGCTTCGCTCGGGCGCCTGCAGCTGCTTCTTCTTGCTTGCCTTGCCCTTGATGCGAAGGAACTTGGCCCCGTTGTCCATGGACACAGCCCGGCGCCGCGGGGTCTTTCCCGTCTTTCCCCCCTCAGGATTCAGCATCCACCAGGAACTTTTGCCAGTGCCCTCGTTCTGCACGCGGATGAAACGGGTGTGCAACGACAGGTTGTGCCGGATGGAGTTCTGTGGCCAGAGACAAGGGCATGGGTAGGGAAATGGGAAGCGAGGAGGCCGTGGGAAAAGGAGGGAATGATGGGAATGGGGCGTCGAAAAAAGTGAGAGAATGGAGAAGTAGGGAGAGGAAGGGAAATAATGGGTGCAGGGGTTGGGAGAAGAAGGGGTGCAGGTGTAAGTATCAGGTCGGACAAACCCAGAATACCCAGCCTCTACCCTTAATCACACCCTTCCACCCCCAGACACTGCCCAGAGGGTGGGGCTGGAGCTCTGGGCCTAGCCTTTTCCGGGACCTGAGGGTTACTGGGTGCTTGCGGAATCCCCCTCTTCCCCAACACAGCCAAGCCCCTCTCGGGGCTAGTCAAGCTGTCAGTACCCCCACCCCAACCTCCAGCAGATTATGTAAGGGCTCATGCCGCCGCGGCTCATTTGTCCGCCCCCCTCCCTCCCAAGTCTGGCATGGTGCCAGGAGCCCGAAAACCCAGGGCTCCAGAAATCAATCTCGCGGTGACTGATTAAGCCCTGTTTAGAACTAATTGCTCTTTCGTGTGTGGGGAGAATAAATTACCTGCTTTAATTTCGTGTCTTTAAAATGCAACTGCAGGTAGAGAAGACTGTTAACCCTTTGCTGGGACTGCTGGGACCGCCTGGCCAGCCAAGGCAGAATAGCTGGGGGTCCCCAACCAAGATGTAGGCCTAAGACTTTTCAGAGATTTTCCCCAGCTCCTCTGAACTCCAAAGAGACTGGGTCCTACAAAGGACAACATTTGGCCATGGAAGCCTCAGGCCCTACTCCTGCTCAGTGCCTTTCTTCAGGTCACCCCAGTTCACTTGCCTGCCCACCCCTCTTGATCCACCTGCCTCAGCTCTGCCCTCGGAGCCGCTTTTTTTTGGGTCCTGTGCACAATGCCTACATACTCCCCATTTATAGTCAAGAAGTCCTGGGCTCAGAGAAGTGAAGTGACTTAAAGGCTCCAAAGCCCTTTCTGCCGTCCCTGGGTACCTCTGTGGCTTCACCTTTGTTGCCCTTATTCTCTTCTTCATTTCTGCTGTGCCAGTCTACAGGGCTCCCCAGGTCTCTGCCTGCTTTGGCCAGACCTGTCCTGGGATGGTGGAGTCCAGAGCTCCACTGGCCTGGCTCTCACAGGAATCTGAAGTAGCATGGGCCTCCCACCTGGGTTTGGCCACTGCTTTGGAAACAGCATGACCTTGGCTGTCTATCAGAGGGCAGGGTGGGAAGCCAGGTTTTTGACCACCTAGCTGTGTGACCATAGCTATGTATCAATCTCTGAGCACTCTAAAAAAAAAAAATGGGCCACAGTCATAACAACCTCATAAGGCTGTTAGATCATTACATGAACTAATCTGGGGTTCAGTGTTGGGTGAGCACTCCAGGTACTCATAGATGTTGATTAAATCTTTCACTCTGGCCAGAAGATCTGACCTCTTAGACCACTCAACAGACCTGCTCTGTTTCCATCTCCTTCACATCCTGTCCTGAGCGAAGCTGTTCTAGGCACCAACCACTCTTAGAAAGCTGACATTCCCCCACTTCATCTATCAGGCAACAGAGGCCCAGAGGCACGATTAACTTGCCCATAATACCACAGCTATGCAGTGCTGCTGGGTACCCGGACTCTGCCCAGGTTGCAGACTTGCTTGTAATCCTTTAATCTGCCCAGTTACACTCACAGCCACTGCTCTGTGAGGGTACTCCCTCCTGCCTCCTCTCCACGGGTCTCCAGGAGGTCCTTCCTGCTGCCAGGGCACCTCCCACCCACTGCTCCCCCAGCTCCAGGTCCTGACTGACTCTTCAGGGCCCCGAGCTCCCTGTCTCTAGCACTTTTGGGTTGGGAGACAACAGCTGGGGCTTGCCAGGCTTGCCCTGCCTGGCTTCTCCTGGGGCTTGGAGAGGAGGGGAACTGGACCCCAGGGATCCCTGTTCCCTCAAGTAGATACCCCCTTCCTGCCCCGCCCCCACACCTGGCTCCCAGGCCCCTCCCCCACACCTGTGTTCAGGGTCCTCAGGAGGCCTCAGTTCTTTTCCCCAAAGAACTGTCAGCTTGCTGGAGGCTCCACCTCCCACCTCTCCACTTCTCCAGCTGGAGGTCCATCAGGTAACACCTCTTTATCAATGTCATTATTTGCCAGCCCAGCTCAGAACACTGGGGGGTGGGGAGAGGAAGGACACCATCAGGTACCAGCACATGGGCAGCACCAGCCTGTTCAGCCCAGGCACTCTGAGTACTTATCTCACTTTATTACGTAAGACTCCAGAATCATGGATTGGGATCCCTACCCCAACATGAGAAGAGTAGGCTCAGAGACTCTGAGTGACGGCCAAAGTCACACAGCTTGGTAAGCACAGGCCAGATTTTGATTTCATGTTGGTATTACTGAGTCTAAAGGATATAACATTCTGCATGGGACAGGGAAGTGGTGTCAGGGAATTCCTAAAGAATCTTAGGAAGCTAGTATCCCAGTGCTCCTCAAACTTTCCATGTAAACTATCCCTACATGTCTGTGGGCCTAAGAGTGTAGGGGGTATGGGGCAGTAGATCTACATGTTATTGTTCCTCTGTCTTTCTCAGTGCTGGGGTTCAAACCTAGAATCTCACAAATGCTAGACAAGTGCTCTACCCCTGAGCTATTTCCAAGACCTCCATTTTCTGTAGAATCAAAATATTTCAGATTACTCAAGACATGCTCCAAGCCTACAAAGATTTGCATCCTTCTCCCCTTGGTCCCCTACCCAGCCAAGTACCTGATAGGTCAAGCCCAAGCCTGACACCATGGTTGGTCCAACCCAGGGAAAAGAAAGGACTTGCCCAAAGTGGACCAGGACCTGTTGTCGGAATAAGCACGTAAGCCTGACCCCCAGCTCGGTGCTCCCCCCCTTCCTTCAAGCTTGACTTAGGGCAAATTTCTCCTCCCATCCAGGATTCAGTTTTCCTGCCTATACAATGATGACACAGGCCAGTGGTACTCTGGGGACCTTTCTGGAGATTTCAGTTTGACACCAAAAATCCTTGGTATCATCCAGTCCAGAGGTTTTCAAACATTTTTCTTAAAGCAATGGAATTCTTTCGTAAGTGAAATTTAATGCAAAACTTAAGTGTTACATACTCAAGTCAGTGCGGGTGGGAGGGTTAGCCTGGAGCCTTGCCCACTCAGCACCCTCTCTCTCAGAATATGAGGCCCTTGGGGAGGGATCCTGCAGCCCAGATGGATGGAGCAGCTGAAGCCTAGAGGGGTGCCTGGTACTGACCAGGGTCATGCAGGGAGGTGCTTCAGAGGTGAGTTAAGGATCTAGACCTCTGACTGCTGAGCTGGGCTTTGCCCTTGGGTTGTGCCCCATGAGAGAAGCCAGGGCCCTGCATCCCAGTGTGGCTCCTCAGGGCCCAGCTACCTGGTACCAATCAGAGCTCCCAGCCAAGATCCAGTGGCAAGCACTGATCACAACTCTGGCTCTCACACAAGGCCTCCTGGGAGGCCAGAGGCCATGGAGGAGGTGAGGGAGGTAGAGGAGGAAGATGCCTCTGCCAGGCAGCAGTAACCAGGGCTCCCTCTTGGAGTTGCCTAGCAACCCACCACCACAGCCACAGCCCTGGCATGCCCAGGCTCCCCTGGTGCCCAGAGCTGGGCTCAGCTTCTGGGGCCTCATATCTCCCACACCTATGTCCAGATCTGGTCCATGCTCTGATGGGAGATAGGACCTCCCTCACTCAAGGACCCAGGGAGGCCAGCTGGGGGCAGAGGAAAAGGAACAGTGGATGATATCCCATGCACATCCCATTCTCCTTCAGAACCTGGACCAGGAAGAACAGCCCCCAGGAGCTTCACCCACCAGTGAGAGGAGGCTGGTGAAGCTGGTACAGGGCAAAGTGCATAAGACCTGGTGTCAGCTCCAACACCCATGAACAGTGAACCCAGGGGCAAGATGCTCTGAAGTTCCAATCTCTCCAGCAGCAGCCACCTGCTTCCTCATTTACTGCCCTGCAGCAGCTAGAATGGTCCTTTCCATAACTGAGATCATGTCCAGTCCTCCCCAGATCCCTCCCACAGTCTCCATCTTATTCAGACCCACAGATCCTCCATGACTTCTCAAGTGTCTTGCTCCATCACCCCTCCTGAACCTTGAGCTGGCCAGACAGGATCCCACCTTTCCACAGATGTCCGCAGAGATCTCTCATTGCCTTCAAGTTCAGATGGCACCTTCCGAAATGAGGTCTCTCTTGACCACTCAAATACTGCTCCTCTCCCCTGCCATTTCTTGGCGTCCTTACCCTACTCTAAATTTTTCTAAAGTAATTATCACTATCTAAATATTTGGTTGAAAATTCCTAATCCAAATATCCTAAATCTGAAGTGCTCCAAATTCTGAAACTTTTCAAGTGTCATGGTACTCAAAAAGTTTCAGATTTTGGAGCCTTTTGGCTTTCAGATTTTTGGATTAAGGATACTCAACTGGTAAAGTCTACGTAAGTATTCCCAAAGCTGAAAAACTCTGAAGTCTGAAACACTTTTGGTCCCAAGCATTTCAGATAAGGGATACTCAACCTATACATAATTTATTTATCTTCTTTCAATCAAGGACAGCTGTCTGGTTGTCCTTATATTGGAATATAACTTTCATGAGGGTACTGTTTTTGTCCTTTTTTTTTAAAAAAAAAACTGTACCCCATATGTTTGGCACATACTTTAAGCACTTAAAAGTTTGTGGAATGAATGCATGCATGGATGTGAGAGAGAGAGAAATACTGTGTTGTAAGGGGAATTAAATGAGATTGCCTTGGCAGGCGCATAGTAGGGCTTTTTCAAACTGGGCTGAGAATAGAATATAGGACAGAATGAGGAACAAGCAGGGAGGTGGAGCAGGTCATGAACTATAGTACCGAAGGAGCCTCAGGCAGAAGAGCTCCAGAGGGGCTAGCAGGTGCGCAGGCAGCTGCCCTCCCCAGCCCCCACCCTGCTCCCCATGCTGACCCAGGTGTGCTCACACCAAAGTC